ATAGAACTACCATATCCTTCATCAATCTCACTTCCAGATATATATCCAAAAGAATTGAAATAAAGATCTAGAAGAGATATCTGCATCCTCATGTTCCTTGCATCATTACGCCTAATAGCCACAACGTGGAAACAACTTAAATGCCCATTGATGGGTGATAAAGAAAATGTGGCGTATACCTACAATAGAATATCATTCAGCCTTGAAAAAGAAGGACATTCTTCCATATGTGACAACATGAGGACATTACGCCAAGTGCAATAAGCCAGCTACAGAAGGATGAATACTGCATTATTCTAAGTAGAATAATGAGGCATCTAATGTAGACTCATAGAAAGAGTAGAATGGTGGTTGCCAGGGACTGGGGGTGGAGGAAATGAGAGTTGTTTGCTATGGATAGAAAAGTTCCATAATGTAAGATGAATAAGTTCTAGAGCTGTGCTGTACAACATTTTGTCTATAGTTAACAGTGCTGTATTGTGCCCTCAAAAAATTGTTAAGGGGTTTGATCTAATGTGAAATGTTTTTACCATGATTAAGAAAAGAAAACTGAAAAAAAGTGTGGTTTATCAAATGCCAAGAAGTGAGACCATAAACAATTTTCCAGATTTCAGAGGAAATCTGACAAAGAATTGAAAAGCATTCATTGAAGATATCAGTAGGATAATAATCAGACAAGCTATAAAGAACTGGCTTCAGTTGTGGGGGGAAAACCTGGATTGGAAAGAGCAAAAGATTGGGGGAAATTGGAAGCAGTAGACAAATTTTCCAGGAATTTTTGCTTCTGCTATGAGTTTTGTTTTATACACACATGTATCTAGTAATATATGATATATATTAGACTTGAAAATGATTTTCTAGTTTGAAATTTGGTGAGAAACCAGATTTCCCTTCTTGTATAGATTTACCAAGGTAGAATCTGAAACTGGTTTTCAGGTATGATTTTGGATTATTTTGGCTTTATTTATTTTTTGTTTCCTCTTACTTTTTAAAGCAAACATCTTCTGAACACTTATTAGTTACCCTAGAGTTTAAAGAGTCCTTCACATACGTTAATTTATTCAATACTCACAAAATCATAAAAGATGTACCATTTTTATTTGATTTTACAATTGAGGCTTAAAAAGAATATGGACATTGTCCAAGGCCTCATAAGTTAGTTATTTGGGATTTAAGTCTTGGTCTTTTCCTTTCACAAAACTTGAATTTTTATTCAAATGAACCATGGTTCACTGTCTTTTCATGTTGTTTCTAGTAGCATAGTCTATTTTTGCCTTTATGGAAATTGTCTGATTGGTATACTTGAAGTATGGTTCCTTCAGGAATACAGATAATTAAAAGATTTTTTAACCTTCCCAGTATAATTTGTCCAGCTCATTTTAATTTGAGAAAAATAGGAAAGGAAATATTACAGCTTTCAGATATCTCCAGAGGTTCAAATTTAAACCCAAAGGGATGTAGGAACTAATAAATCACCCAAACAACTTCAGAATGAGCTCAGTGGGAGCTAGGGTCATTGCTAAGCAGGTGAGTCATGGAGTTTGTATATGGAATGAATCACCAATGCTCTACCAATAGCCAGGCTTCCCATTAGAAACCTCTCCCCTTGGTGAACTGTGGTATTCGATGGAACCAGTCTGCTTTTAGAGATAACACCTATAACATCCTAACTGCATTTCTTAGTTTCATACACCTTATTGTCACACTCTTTTCTTTTCAGTACTTTCTAAAGGATGTCTGCTTCTTTCTTCATCTCCCATTCCCTGTTCTTCCCTCTTTCCTTCCCTCCCTGCCTTTTCTGTCTGTCTGTCTCTCTCTCTCACATACACACATTCCTTAAATGACTCATACTGAGTTATCTAGATAATCTAGAATCACACCCTCTGTCCTTCAGTAATACTCACAAAAGCTAGTTGTTATTATATGGCCAGTGGAGGAGAAATACAAGGGCAGGTGGGCTTTCTGTCTAAAATTCTCTTATGAGAATGGGTGACCAAGAATGGTTCTACACTTAAGTGCTGGTAACAGTGTTTTTCTATCCTTGGCCTTTGGAAACACCAAATGTACTGTAAAAATTTCCCTCTATAATAAAGAATGGGTGCTCACTGTAATTTTTGAATCCTGACATAAAATAGAAATCCACTGGATTTCATTTTTCTAATTTTGCTTCTCAGAAGAGATGTTTGGCCTCAGGAAGGGTTTTAAGGCAATCAGACTCACACCCATGCTTCTTAGCCCTTCCTCATGTCATGTCATGTCATTGGTATGTGTTTTGAGATACACAGAGGGCACATCTGAAGGTTGAAGAAGTCACGATGTCTGCACACCTGTACACCTGCACACCTAGTGTACTGGTGGTGCTCAGTGTGCCTCTGCAAGCTGGTAAGCTCTAGGGAAGAAACCAAGCTTGGTGAAGCCCTGGAATGAAAGACGCTTAGCTTGGAGAAGCCATACAGACCCTTATAAAGCAGGGAGAAAGACCTGGATAAGACTAGGCAGTGAGTAAATCAGAAAATAACTTGACTAATAGAGAGAATAGGAGAGAAGAGGTTTCCCAATGACTATTTCCTTCTTCCCTATTTATTGAACTCTTTTTCTGTGCAAAGCTTTGCCATTGTGTTAATTGCCAAAATGTGTAGACATATTAGAGATACGTCCCTAATGCTTAATAAGCAGAGACAAACCCTTTAAGAATTAGTACAAAGGAGAGATTTAATGTGCTTGGCAACTATGTTTTGAGAACTTCGATGGGCAAAATGGCTCTACATAAGACTGATGGAGAACCAAATAAATGAAGTTGCTCATTGTTAAAAACAGTATCCAACTAGCTGAAAGGACTAAAAGTGATCATTACTGATTAATTTAGTACCCAAATAACTGAAAATAACAAGTATTTGCCTCATTGTACATAGTTAAGTAAACATCTAAAATTTTTCACCAATAGTTTAAATAGGTATAAAAGATGTAATTTTTCACGTTATAAATATTGGCATTCATATATATAAATATGAATTTAAATATACATATATATGTATACAAACATACACATATATGCCTAAAGTTAAATGTATCAAAAATAGTGTAATATTATGGTAATCAATAATTACCATCATCCATTGAAAATACAGAGACTCCTTTGTAAAATTAGGTAGTATAGAACATTTCTTTTTTTTTTTGTCCTTGAATTCATTTGTTCATTCAATTTCCACCAAAAGAAAAAGTAAACCTAATGTAATATATTTTATTATGGAAATTATTTCCCTGGTTATTTTGCCTTACTCCCCTAAAACTCAAATACATGTACACACACTGATTGTATTCTTGTAACAATAAGTTCTATAGCTTTTATATGTTACAGTAGTAACAGTAAAATATTTTTATTACAAAAAATATTATAATATTTTACAGTAGTAAAGTATTTCTATTTGAGTTATAATTACAATTAAATAAAAAAGCCTATATACTTCCAATGTTGATGAATAATTATTTAGTATAGATTTAACTTTCATTTGAAATTTATCTTATCAATGAGATGGGGGTATATTTATGTATCATATGAAAAGAATTATCTAAATGACCAAATGTTGGAGCAAGCGATCATAACATGATTCCAGATCAGGGAGAGATATGCCTTGCATTTGTAAACTGTGAAAAGTGTTGAGTTTGGAAAAGGGAAGACAAAAACAAATACAAACAAAAAAACAAG